TAAAATCTATTTCATCAAGGACGCGGACAACGAGATATTTCTCTCAACGCAAATTACATCGTGGTGTTCAAAAACCCTCGCGATCGTGCTCAGATTCGTCACTTGGCCAGGCAGGTATGTCTGGAAGATTCAAAGTTTGTGGAAGAAGTTTACTATGACGCTACATCGTTTCCACATGGGTATTTGTTGCTCGATCTGAAACAATCTACCCCGGATGAGTGTCGGTTTCGTACATGCATCTTCCCCACTGATAATACGCATTATATTTACGTTCAGCGTGGATCCACCAGAAGTTACGTATAAAACCTGTGCATACGATCATTCTGCGACAGTCTTATCGCCGTAATGGCAATGAGTGCGGGCAGCAGTGCGAATGCGAAAAAGGGCGATAGAACCGCAAACGCAGCAAAACGGTCCATCGGTGAGAAAAACATCTCTCTTCTGAAGGCGTTGTGCTACTTGACGGAGAAACAACATGCTGACTTTTTGCGAGAAGCTGACCGTGATTTCATCAGATGTATTTGCAAGTGTGCCTTCAACACGCCCAAAGTTAACGTACCGCTGGACAGAACAAAGAAAAATCGCCTATCGCGTTGCGCAAATCAACGTTGCGTCATATCGCTAATGATCGCGGTGATTGGAGAAGCAAACGGACAGCGATAGTGCAGCGAGGCGGATTTCTACCTTATCTCATCGTCCCTAAACTCGGGGCTATATTATCCAAAATCGTCGGTAATTGAGACTGTTCACGCTTGAACCATAAAAAGAGCTAAGAAGATGGTACTGATTTCTACGGATAATTTCAAGAAATTGTAGCAACAGGCTCATACATCATCGACCTCAGCGTCATTGTCGTTGTTGTCTTCCTCGACTGCAATCCCCTCTGTTTTGACAGATAATGCTGCAACTGGGCTAAACGTAGCACCAGTAGAGAATGAAAATACGGTGTGTACTCCGGGTTCCGTCCTGTCGCGTCTTGACGCCGAGATGCATATAATTCTCAACTCTCCGGTCCTCGAAGGAGCACGGGAAAAATGGAAATTGTATAGAGAAGTATTTCAGCGATATCTGTACTTTTTTCGTGAGCGGGAAAAGCACTGATTACGCGGGAAAAAAGAAAAAAAGCCTGTTACTGTTGGTGAGGTCGACGGTGATGAAAACGGTGGGGAAGGGAAAATACCCCTCGCGAAGATGATGAATACGCTGACGGAAACGCGGTAGAAGGAAACGCAGGTATGACTGTAAATGAAGATATTCCTAACCTAGAGACTGACGTATATCGAACGTTGAACGTTTCTCAACACGTACGAGACGAAAAATGCAGTCGTCATCATCGCACCAGCGAACACAAAAGCATTGGAAGAATACTGAATAAAGTGCCAAAGAGTTACTGGGCTAAAGCGCGCAAGCTGCTGACCCATTTGTGTGATGTTGTGGTACGCGGTCGATTAAGTTGTGACAGACAGAGAGTTGTGACCCTCCCCGCGGGTGCCATCTTGTCGTAGGGGAGAGGCTTGAAGGTCCCGATGATGTACAGAGTTGTGCCGGCGGGGGCTTCGGCCCCTGGCATGTCCTACCATGCCGGAGTGGTCTATACTGAGGGACTGGACTAAGAGCACCCAGGGATGTTATGGCGGGATGACCAGTTGGCCACCCTCGACCATTTTTTTCAGGGTAGTGAGGGTGGGGACACCGTTCCTCCCACATTGCACGCTAGTGCTCCGGCATTCGGAGGGACAGGACTCCACCCCGTGGGAGATTTCCGTCCCCTAGGGCATTGCACGTCGGTGCTCCGACAGTCCGAAGGGACGGGCCACACTCAGGTCTGCACACCGTGAGGTTTGGGACCCTCATGGTACCCGGGGTAGCGGGGGGGATCCGGGCCGCTCGGACGTATTCCGAGGTCGGGACCGGGTCTCCCCGAGGTGAGCCAGGGGGATGGGGATCGCGTCATCCTTAACCCATCCCTCGTGCGGAGGAGCATTGCTGGCTGCGGTGGGGGAGGGGTCCCGTCGAGTCGCGACGGCGGTGACCTTACTTCTTACACGGGGCCCCCGCGTGACGGCGCTTCTGGCGGTGCTCCAGGTGTCGGAGACTGGGGACTCCCGAAACCGGCTCACCTCCCAGAAATGGGGGTGGGGCGGGAGTAGGGGGCTGGAGTCCAGTGCCCGGGATGTTTCTCCCCGGGCCCGTGACATAGACCGGCTCCCTGGGGGAACTCGGGGACACCACGGAGCTTCTCCGTGGTGCAGGCACGCCTGGCTGGTCGAGCCGCCAGGAGTGGTTGGTTCAAAACCACAATGGCAGACAATAAAAAACAAAGGAAGAGGAGGAAGGGGAGGACCTCCTCCGGTTCGGAGGAAGGGAGCCTGGCTGGAGGCCCTGGGAGGGAGAGGGTCCTTGGGACGCCGGCTTCTGAGTTGTTGCAGCTGGTGGCACCCAAGGCCAAACTTGGAGTGGAGGTGATGGAGGAAAAGGACCTGTTCCTTTAGAGATGAGGATCCGGTCTCTGGATGCCGAAATAAAGACACATCCTGAGATGTTAGATACGTGGAGATCGGATAAGGAAGGGAAGGACTCTGATGACGGAGACTCCATGACCTTGTCGGAAGATGAGGAGGAGTCGGGTGCCGTCGGAGAAGAGGGGGAGGAGTTGGAATATCTCCCTACTCTGTAAAGAGATGTGGGAGTGGAAAGGATATTTGCGGAAGCAAATGGAGGAATGGGGAAGAAATCGAAGCCTCGGTAACCTCCAGAAAGGTAGGCTCCGGGAGGTGTTCGATTCCACCCTCCGGTATATGCAGGAGCTCGTCGTAGCCGCTGCCGCACTGGAGGACAGGCAGAAAAAGACAGAAAGGAAGCTATTGATTAGCGAAACGTACAGGAAGGATCTGTGCGGATATATGGAGGAAATGTCCGCGCAAATTAAAGCACTAAAGGAGAAGGAGAACAAAAGGGAGGCGGATCTCGAGAGGGAGAGAATGGAATGGAGGGAACTCCTGGAACAGGAAAGGAACGGGACGGAAGAGAGGATGCAGATACTTCAACAGAACCTAGTCCAACTAGATGCTCTGCTGAAGCTGCGGGGTGAAAGGGGATTAGGGGAAAGGGGGGAGGCGTCGACGCAGACAGAAGCGTCCGTGACGACTCCACCCACCCCAATGGATATAGAGGGAGAGGAAAGAACAAGGGAGGATAGTGGGACTCAAACCAGGATGGGTGATAGGACGGATAAAGTGGTCCAGGGTAGGAAAATAGGAAGGGATTGGGGGACACAAACGGAGGTCTTGGCGGGTCCCCCGGGTGGGGTTCCGTCGGTTGACGGCCCCTCCCGAAAGGGGACGTCGCCCGCCCCCCACCAGGACAATCGGGAAGGAAAGTCGGGAGACGCAGGATACAGTGACGTGGGCCACTGTTTCTAGGAAGAAAAGGAGAAGGGGAGGTGAGGATGGGGAGGGTGGTCGGGAGGGGAAGCTGGTTCCCGCAACCCCAATCCCGGCTCCTGCCCAATTATATTTCGTGGGGAAAGGGCATGGGATATTGGGACATGGGGCTACGGCGTCGGCACAGGTTACCGTGCAACGATCCTCCGGGCCCCCTGTTCCAGTGGGAAGGGAAAATGGCCCCGGCTGCCACCGACAACCGCAGTGACATTCGCCCTGCCTCGGGGTCTTCCTATGCGGAGACCCTGAGGGCAATGAAGGAAATACCCCTGGAGGATCTGGGGATCCCCGGGGCGGAGGTGGGGAGGACGATGGCTGGGGACCTGGTAGTCCGGGTCAAGGACCCAGGTCCCGGCGATGAGAAGGCGGACCGCTTGGCGGCCCACCTTATAGAGGTCTTGCCAGAGGCGGCGGTAAACTATCCGGTACTAAGGGGGAGGTCCGTCTTGGAGGGGTTAATGAGGCGGCGACCCCCGAGGAAGTCAAGGAGTCCCTGGCCCGCAGTGCAGGCTGCGGGTCAGAGGAGATTACCCTCGGGCCCCTCAGATGGGAGATAAGAGGACGGGGGACAGTATGGGCCCGGTTACCTCTGGCGGCTGCGGTTGCGGCTGCCAGGGGATGTGGTTTTGCACTGGTGTGGTCGAGCGTCAACTGTACTCCTAGATGGGCAGCTGCCTCCAGGTTTTAACCAGGGTTTGGAAGGTCTCATTCGTGGGGCCCAAAGGACCTTACAGCGCGGGCCGAACGGGCTCGTGAGCCGGGTGAAGGCAACCGTTCTAGGGGAAGGAAAACCCTGACTGCAAACCCGTACTTGTCAGGACGTATAACCTGACATAATTGCGAGGGTCCAGGGTGTTTCGGCACTCTGGTACAGGGGACTCAGGCAACCCCGGCAGATCCTAGTCTATCATACCGTAACCCTAGATCATGTCTCTGGGGTCGGGGGTCTTGCCTTAATTGGCCGGACCGCGAGGCGGGTCCTCTATAAAAGACCACGTAATCCTACGGTTGAGGCATGCCACGCTTAGGGGATGAATGGCAGGTGCGTGACCTGTCGCGAGTGGTTCCTCACCTTGGGCACCTGGCGAACTCAAGGGACAAGTTAGCCTTACTCCGGGTAATGCGGGGGCTCTACCCGGGGTCGACGCCTACTTCCCGCCGAACTCGTGGGACGAAAATGAGATCTCCACAAATTAAAAAACCAAATTTCTCCGAGTTTTCGGACTCAGAGCCCCGAAAAGATGGGTGCAGCAACCCGCCTCAGGGCTCACCACCTGCTTCGGCAGGTGATTTTTTGGAGGAAGAGAGAGGAGATAATGATGAGAGGAGATAAGGATAGGCAGAGATCTTCCGGCGGGTGCCATCTCCCCTCCCCCCGGGGAGAGAGAGCGAATGGACCTCGGAGGGCTAGCCTCCGAGGGGCCATCCACTGAGGGAAGCCCATCCCCCTCAACGACTACTGACGACAGTAGTCGGGACTACCGTCCTCACCGGAGGACGGGTAGGGTGAGCTCTTCGCGGAGGGTTACACGAGCGGCCACCCAACGTGGGACAGGCATGTCCCTGGGGTCCGGGGTACCCGTGGGCCAGGGGACTCCGGTACCAGGGGCCAAGAAGCCCGGCTCCTTTTGCTTAAAGAGGACGCAGAGGGAGTCTGCCCCCAACAACAGTAAGGGGGCACTTGGGGCCAACCTGGGGAAGGAGGACGCAGGGACTGGGAAGAGAGAGGGGGCGTCGGGGACGAGGATCGCGGGGCCGGTCGTCGTCACCGACGTCCTCCTCTCCCAGGGATCTAAGTTCCAGGTCCGGAGAGCAGGGGAAAAAGCGTTGCTGCAGCCACCAGGGGCCGCCAAGGTGAGCGGCACCGAAACAAGGACGGCTGACAACAACACCGTGGAGACGAAGAGGGCAAGGGCCTGTACGAGCAGCGGGTCTTCATTGGCGGTGAAGTTAGTGGAAGGACCAATCTCGGAATTGATTCCAGCCGAGAAGAAGAGGGGGAGACCTGCTACAACTGGTGAGAGGGTAGGGTTGAAGGAGAAGAGGGAAAAGGCGCAACAGGAGAGTAAAGAGGAGAACCTTAGAAGGTTGGAAAAGGAGGCGTGGAGCCTCCTCGAAAAAGGGCGCATTCACACTATGTTGGATAAACGCCCTGCAAACGAGGTATTCAGAGACGCCTCCGCTTTGCACCTCCTAAAGGTGGTCAGGTCGTCGGAGCTAGTCGACAAGGTGGGTCGAGCCCTGGGGGCAGTGAAGCTGGTGGCGAAACGTTCCAGATCTCTCAAAGGAACATTAGTCAGCCTGCTGCACCAGTTTGCCACCACCTCTGAGGCGGCGACGGCGACCCTGATCTCTAGAGTAGCGGAGCTAGACGAGAGGGGAGAGGAGAAGCCAGAAATGGAAAGGGAGGCAGAGGAGCTGAGGGAGGAGATCAGAGGTTTGCTGGCGGAGAATACGAGGCTTCAAGGGGAGCTTCAAGCCAGCAAGGTCTCGGTGATCCCCACCCTGACCCTCTTTCAAAACCGTCCAAGAAGAGAAGGACGTACGCGGAGGTGATCAGCGGAGATACGTCCACCTCAATGGTGGATGAGGTAAGGGAGGAGAGAAGAGAGAAGAAAAAGAGGAAGAGGAGGAGAGTGGCGAGAATCCACACCTCCTCTTTCTACCTAGGGAGAGGGGAAATGGGGGAGGGGGGGCATCTCTGGAGGCCTACCCAATCTTTGATGACAGACTCCCGGGGGAGACTCCCCCTCCAACAGGGAAACCTGAGCAGGGGAAAGTGCGGAGGGATCTTGACGCCTCCATGGCGACTGCGGCCCGAACACCTGGCGGCGGGGTGAGGAGTCTGATTAGTCAGAAGCCTCACCTTGTATGGGGGTGGGACGGGAACCGGATCGCTGAGGGGGCGGGGACCCATGCGCTGGTCCAGGCTAGGGAAGTCAAGGAGAGGGCAAAGGACCACGGAAGGAGGGAAGGCCAGGCCCAGGCTCAACAAGTTCCGGCGGACCGAAGCAGGAAGAAAGAGAGAGCCAAGGAGAAGAAGAAGAGGAGGAAGGCGAAGGCGGGGTTCCTGAAGGATAGAGAAAAGGAACTAGCCCAGGGAGGAGGAGTGGGAATCCCAGCCAAGAAATTAGAGGCACTGGGAATCGAGGCGGGATTAGGATGGGCACTTCGGGTTGAGGAGAAGAAGGAGGAAGCATGGTCCCGCGTGCCAGGGAAAAAGGAGAAGAAGAAGGAAAAGGAGGGAGCGAAGAAGATTCCTACTCCTCCCCCTACCAATCAGGTAGGAGTACAGAAAGGGACGAAGGGGGCGAGACCGGGTAAGCCTGAGCCGCCAAAGAGCGGGGCTGTCGCCATAACCTGCCCCCCCCGACCGGTATCGGGAGTTCATGGTAGAGGCAAGGCGCCGGATCAAACCGACAGACCTGGGCATTCAGGGATCTCTCAGGATGACTCAGGCCCTGAACAGGGACATGTTGGTTGAGGTGCTTAGCCTTACCGCGGGGGCAGCCGCCGATCGGCTTGCGGAAGAGCTCCGCAAGCTGGCGGCGAAGAAAGGCCCCGGTTTCCGCATTCGTAGGTCGGTTAAGATCGCAGCGTTGCGACTGACCGGCCTCGATGCAACAACCGGGGCCGACGAAGTGGCGGCCGCGGTGGCCCTCGCCGGGAATGCGCGCCGGAGGAGATTTTCTGCGGCGAGGTAAGCGTCTCCCGGTGGGGGACTGGTAGTGGTGCGGTGTCTGCTGGTGGCTGCCGCGAAGGTAGCCGCTGCGGAGCGAGTCCCGATAGGATGGACTCGCGCCGGGGTAGTGGCGCTGCCCGCTCGCGCCAAGCTATGTTACCGGTGCTTGGAACCGGGCCATGTGCGCGAGCGGTGCGATAGCGCCGCCGACCGCAGCGGACTGTGCTATCGCTGCGGTAACTCCATCCACGGCGCCAAAGGTTGCCAAAGGGCGGCTCGTTGCCCGGTCTGCGCCGAGGCGGGCAGGCCCTCCGATCACATGATCGGAGGGCCTGCCTGCAAACCTCCCTCCTCCAGAAAGAGGAGGGGGGTTAAGGCGAGGAACGAAAAGGAGGGAGAGCAGGGAAACGGTAAGGCAGAGGAAATGCTGCCGACCATGGTCGAGGGAGCTGAGGAAAGGGAGGCCCGAACCCCACTGGAGGACCCCGTGGACCGGAACCTGCTGATGAAGGAAGCCAGTCCGGCCCCCTCAGCTACGAGGGAAAAGGAGGATGCTTCGGGAGGGGAATAGAAGGAGAGACTCCTCCCTAGTGTTGTGGGAACTTCCGGAGAGGACCTCGACACCTGTCCCGATGGAGAACGTGCCGCAGGTCTAAAGGAAAAGGCGAGAGGATGAACGGTAGGATACAAACAGGAAGGATGGGACCAGCGGATCTTCTGAGGAGGACCAGATGGCCAAGGTAAGGCGGGTGCAGTCTGCGGACTTACCACCATCTACCCTAGTAGAAGGGGAGACAGCGGGTGATCCACCCCTGTCTCCCCTCATGGTCGTAGACGACTTCCCCTCATACCCCCCAGAGGAAGGAGTGCTCCAGGTAGGGACTCCCGAGAGGCAATCACCCTCCGCACACGAGGAGGCACAGGAAGTCATAGCCATCAAGGCCGAAGCCCCCTCTGGGGAGACTGAGGCGGCCCAGCCGCAAGGGGTCTCCCAAGAGGGGGTAAAGGTAGACAGCCCGGAGGAGGCGTGTAAGGCCTAGCCTTCACGCCACTCCGGGTGCTACAGGCGAACCTCGGCCGCGGCGCCCGGGCCCAGGACCTGTGGGTACACAGTATCCGGGAACTGGGCGCCGGGCTGAGGGTGGCCACCGAGCCGAACTGGGTGCCGATCAGCAACGAATGCTGGTTCGGCAGCCCGGACGGCTCGGTGACCATGGTGGCTGACCCTGCAGCGGGGAACCCTCCCTGTGTTTTAAGGGAAAAGGGGTCCTCGTACGTGGTGGTCGACTGGGGGCCTATAACTGTGGGAGGGGTATATCTCCTCCACCACAGGAACAAAGTTGGGCTTGACAGCCCCGCCTGCATTAAAGGGATCCTAGACAAAATCGGGGATTTGGTGCGCAAGTGCCATCCCCGACCTGTCATAACTGCCGGGAACTTTAACGCCCAATCTGAGGAGTGGGGTTGTAGTCCCCGGCAACGGGATCCCAGGGGCGACTTCGTCATCGGCTGGGCGGCAGGATTGGGCCGTCTGTTGTTAAACAGAGGGTCCACCGGCACCTGTATAAGGCCGGGAGGGGGGTCATCGGTCATTGATTCGACATCGGCCTCCCTCTCGGCCGCTAGGATGGTGTCCGAATGGAGGATGGAGGTGGAGAGTGAGACGTTATCTGACCATAGATACATAGTCTGGGCGCTCCGCCTCCCCAAACCAAAACAGATGTCGGCTCACCGCCCAGAGGAGAGGAACTTTTCCTTCGCCAAAAGATAGGCCCTTAGTCGACTAGATGTCGACAGGTTCAGGGCTGCTGTCCTTGTGGCCACCTGGCACACAGAGCCAGGTGAGTGGGACCCCGGCCCCCTGAATGGGGCCAGGGAGATAACGGGGATAGTGGCGTCGGCATGCGACGTCGCGATGCCTCGTTCCCACCCCCGTCGGTGCTGGGCAGCGTATTGGTCAGAGGAAATAGCAAGACCTCGCAGTGACTTCGACCGCGCCAGAAGGGCATATACGCGTGCCCAGCGACGAGACGGGGATGCCACAAGGGCAAAAGAGGACTACCTTGCCGCCAGGGTAGTCCTCAAGAAAGCCATCAAAAAGGCCAAGCGGGAAGCCTGGAAGCAATTGGTGAGCTCCCTGGATGACGATCCGTGGGGACGCCGATACAAGAGGACGATGGGGAAGATCCGTCCCTGGGCGCCAATGCAGACGGAGACGATAGACACCCAGGCCCTCGATGGGCTCCTGGACGCCCTTTTTCCAAGGGCGCAAGGGGGCCTCCAGTGATCCCTTCCCCAGAGATGGAGGAGGGGGATTGGGACAAGGGCTTGGAGGTCACTCCAGAGGAGATCGCCAAGGCCCGGAGAAAGTTCGGGGGCAAGGGCAAAGCCCCTTGCACCGACGCGATACCGGGCCGCACCTGGGCTCTCGCGTTGGCCGAGGGGAACCTGTCCTCGGCCACGTGCAGGGTCATGACCGGATGCCTCAGGGGGGGTCTTCCCCCCAGAGTGGAGGAGGGCCAAATTGGCCCTCCTCCCGAAGGAGGGCAAGGAGCCCGGTAATGCGTCAGCCTACAGGCCGATATGCCTGCTGGACGAGGCGGACAAGTTGCTGGACCGCATCATTGCGGACCGCCTCGTCCAGCACATGTTCTCGAGTGGGCTGGACCTCCATGACCGCGAATACGGGTTCAGGCCCGGACGATCCACGCTGGATGCAATCCAGTGGGTCCGAGACCTGACCCGGGCGGTCGTGGAGATAAGGGGCGAGGTGTTATTGGCGGTGTCACTAGATATTTCTAACGCCGTCAACACCCTGCCCTGGCCGGAGATAGGACGGGCCGTCAAGCACTTCGAGGTGCCCGCCTATCTCAGGCGAATAATGTCCGCCTACTTCGGGGACAGAGACCTCGCCTTCACCAAGGAAGGCGGGATTCAAGGCTGGCGCACTATGGAGCGCGGTGTCCCGCAGGGGTCGGTGCTCGGCCCCCTGCTATGGGACATCAGTTTCGACCGGGTTCTTCGCACTCCGCTCCCCGACGGCTGCCACGTCGTCTGCTACGCAGACGACACGTTAGTGGTGGCCGAAGGGGAGAACTGGGGGAAGCCTGCTTCTGTGCGGAGATTGCAGTGGAATCGGTGGTGGGAACCATCGGAGACCTGGGTCTCAAGATGGCGCACAGAAGACTCAGGTTGTGTTCTTTCACGGCCGGGGTCGGGGCCGCCGCCGGACACCCGGGTGCTAGTCGATGGCGTCCACGTCCGTGTCGGGCTGACGATAAAATATCTTGACCAGTAGCTGGACAGCCGATGGTTATTTGGGCCTCACTTCAGGCAGCTGGCCCCCAGGGTGCGCAAAGCCGGACTGGCTGTAGCCAGGCTGATGCGCGCCCAAGGCGGCCCAGGATGGCAGGCTCGCCGCCTGTATGTCGGTGCGGTTCTCTCGATCGCCCTGTACGGGGCGCCTATATGGGCCCCTCAGTTGCTGGCCACCGCGGTGGCCAGGAAGCAGTTGAGACAGGCCCTTAGGCCCCTAATGATCAGGGCGATTCGGGGGTTCCGCACCGTGTCATACATGGCGGCGACCACCCTGGCCGGCTCCCCCCTGTGGAGCTCCTCGCCGAGGAGAGGAGGATTCTCTACTGGCGAGTGAAGGAGCTCCGCGAGGGGGAGAGCTGACGGTCAGGGGCCTGAAGGGCCTGATGACCCAGGCCAGAGACCGGTCCCGGGAGCGGTGGGAAGGCTTGTTAGCCGACCCCCGTGGGTCCAGTCTCGCAACGGCCGAGGCTATCCGCCCCTGTCTGTCGGAAATAACAGACAGGAGGGGGCGTGGAATGTCCTTCCACATGGTGCAGGTATTGACCGGGCATGGTTGCTTCGGGAGATACCTGCACCGGATAAGGAAGTAGCCCACCGCTCGGTGCCACCACTGCCCCGAGCAAGTGGACTCGGCGATGCATACCCTGGCTGCCTGCGCAGTATGGGATAAGCAGCGCCGTGTCCTACTCGGGGCGGTGGACTGCCATGACGGGGAGCTCTCGCTCCCGCACCTAGTGCGAGCCATGTGCGGGAGCGAGAGGGCGCGGGCGCGGCGGCCTTCTTCTGCGGGGAGGTAATCTCCCGGAAGGAGGCCGCCGAGTGGAGGCGCCGGCCTGGCAAACGCCGTCGGAGAGGACGGCGGGGCCGGCGCTCCCCCGGGGGAGGGGGAGTCGGCAGCGGGCCAGAGGTGGCATCAGACGAGGAAAGGGCGCCGGCCTACACGGGTCGGTGCCTCCCTCGGCCACCTCGGGCCAGGCTCCGTCATTCAGAGGGGAGCGGGGAGGGCAACTCCTGCTCCTCTGAATGATTGGATAGGGGGGAAAGGTGGAGGTGGGGAACCCGATTGTGGTCGGGCCCACCTCCCCAAAATCCCTCCCTCTCCCTTAAGGAAGAGGGGGATAAGAAGGAATGGTGGATGTCCCCTTTCTCCAAGGTCACACCAGAAGGCCAACCGGTGGGGATACCCGCCAGGGACCGCACCTCTCCCACTAATTCCCCGAAAGGGGAAGGGGGTGCGGTACAAGAAGGCGAAGGCCTCTTGGAATAGAGCCCTGGAGCCGGGGGGTTGGAGAGGGAATGCAGGAGCAGTTCCCCTAACTCCCCTCTTCACGATCCGACAGGTAGACATCCCGCAGGGGTTTTAGTCGGTAAGAGTCCGACATAATCCCCACCCCTCCCCAAGGGGGCGGGGTATCCATGATGGATTTCCCTGCGTGAATAAAAAAGAAAAAAAGAGGTATCCATGATGGATTTCCTCCTCGTAAAAAAAAAGGTGCACGACCGCTAAGGGGGTAGCAACGACGCTAGACTTGCTACCGCCGATTGCCCTCTCCGGGGCAAAAGGAGAATTGAGGAGAGGGGCTGGTACACCGGCCCTCCCTTCGTCAACCGCCGACTCCCAAAGCGGGGGTCGGTGAGAATAAGGGGAGAGGATACAGCAATGGTGTTGTCACTGCATCATGTATCTCCCTCCCCCACAGACCCACTGTAGGTGGGCATAAAGAGAAGAGGTCTTTGACTCTTCTCTTTCTCCAGTACGGAGGTGAGAGTGCCCGGGGGCTAGGGGATCGTTTTCCCCCCACAACCGCCGGGAGGGAGGGTGGGGCACCGGGCAGGGATTCCCGTCGTCCCAACCAACCCTCCCAACGCAGGGTGGCTGGCTGATTCGGTGGGTCAATCAGCCACGCAACAATATTTTGGCGGCGCTCCGCCTGACTGGGAACGGTGGTAGAAGCGCAAACGTTTGCCGGCTACTCCCTTCCCAGTCGCATAGGTGAGCGTGAGAGGTGGAGAAAGGGAAGAACGGCGGTTGAGGATGAGCCCCGGCTCGCCTCCCCCTTCCTCCCTGGGGAGCGGCGGTTGAGAAGAGCTTAAGCTCGCCTCCCCCCTCCCCGCTTCGCCCCTCGGGGACAGACGATGTGTCTATCTGGACTCGGGACCCCGATTAGCAGTCATGTGTGGCTCCAGTGTCCCGGCCCAAGTCCCTTCGCAGCGCCACCCGGGGAGGTTTTAGCCGGTAGGAGTCCGGCATAACCCTAGTCCTTCCTCGAGGGTCAGGGTATCCATGATAGATTTCCTCCTCGTCAAAAAAAAAGGTGCACGACCGCGGTGGATCGCAGCGGCCTGTGTGGCCGGGGCGGGCACACGGCCGCTTGCGACCCGCCGTCAACGCAGTGGCGACGACGGCGAAGGCGGGCGAGCTTTCTCGCCCGCTGGAGGGTAGGAAACCGGCCGAGGTAGTGTCGGCGGGAGGATCGACGTGTTGATGCAGGGGTCGCCTGTGGTCCTGGGTTGCGGGGCGGTGGAGACTGGTCCCCCTCATGTCGAGGGGGACCTTTTTGTTTCTTTTTTTAGTGCACGCAGGAGAAATCCATCCATGGATATCCCCGCCCCCTTGGGGAGGGGCGGGGTTATGTCGGACTCTTACCGACTAAAACCCCTGCGGGATGTCTACCTGTCGGATCGTGAAGAGGGGAGTTAGGGGAACTGCTCCTGCATTCCCTCTCCAACCCCCCGGCTCCAGGGCTCTATTCCAAGAGGCCTTCGCCTTCTTGTACCGCACCCCCTTCCCCTTTCGGGGAATTAGTGGGAGAGGTGCGGTCCCTGGCGGGTATCCCCACCGGTTGGCCTTCTGGTGTGACCTTGGAGAAAGGGGACATCCACCATTCCTTCTTATCCCCCTCTTCCTTAAGGGAGAGGGAGGGATTTTGGGGAGGTGGGCCCGACCACAATCGGGTTCCCCACCTCCACCTTTCCCCCCTATCCAATCATTCAGAGGAGCAGGAGTTGCCCTCCCCGCTCCCCTCTGAATGACGGAGCCTGGCCCGAGGTGGCCGAGGGAGGCACCGACCCGTGTAGGCCGGCGCCCTTTCCTCGTCTGATGCCACCTCTGGCCCGCTTCCGACTCCCCCTCCCCCGGGGGAGCGCCGGCCCCGCCGTCCTCTCCGACGGCGTTTGCCAGGCCGGCGCCTCCACTCGGCGGCCTCCGTCCGGGAGATTACCTCCCCGCAGAAGAAGGCCGCCGCGCCCGCGCCCTCTCGCTCCCGCACATGGCTCGCACTAGGTGCGGGAGCGAGAGCTCCCCGTCATGGCAGTCCACCGCCCCGAGTAGGACACGGCGCTGCTTATCCCATACTGCGCAGGCAGCCAGGGTATGCATCGCCGAGTCCACTTGCTCGGGGCAGTGGTGGCACCGAGCGGTGGGCTACTTCCTTATCCGGTGCAGGTATCTCCCGAAGCAACCATGCCCGGTCAATACCTGCACCATGTGGAAGGACATTCCACGCCCCCTCCTGTCTGTTATTTCCGACAGACAGGGGCGGATAGCCTCGGCCGTTGCGAGACCGGACCCACGGGGGTCGGCTAACAAGCCTTCCCACCGCTCCCGGGACCGGTCTCTGGCCTGGGTCATCAGGCCCTTCAGGCCCCTGACCGTCAGCTCTCCCCCTCGCGGAGCTCCTTCACTCGCCAGTAGAGAATCCTCCTCTCCTCGGCGAGGAGCTCCACAGGGGGGAGCCGGCCAGGGTGGTCACCGCCATGTATGACACGGTGCGGAACCCCCGAATCGCCCTGATCATTAGGGGCCTAAGGGCCTGTCTCAACTGCTTCCTGGCCACCGCGGTGGCCAGCAACTGAGGGGCCCATATAGGCGCCCCGTACAGGGCGATCGAGAGAACCGCACCGACATACAGGCGGCGAGCCTGCCATCCTGGGCCCCCTTGGGCGCGCATCAGCCTGGCTACAGCCAGT